ACCCGACCATCATCTCTCTGCAGCAAAGGTTGTTTATTGTTTTTCCATTTTTCAAAACTCCAGTTTTCGGAGAACCCGGAGAGAACCCACGCTGCACGGGGAGAACATGGAGACTCCACGCAGGAAGATCCCGGGTGTCCTCACCGGGACGCCAACCGGCGACCTTCTAGCTGTGAGGCCACGGTGCTAACCACTGAGCACCTTGCAGCCCCTCTAATGAAATATGCAAAGGACAAATTAGTCTTAGCTTGTAGTTGTACAACTTGTTTAAAATCTTTGTTAAGCTGCACATTTCCAGGTATACAACCCCTGATGCTTGTTGCTGCTGAGATGCTTGCTTGGTTTCTAACGTCCATGTTTCCTTGTATGTTTCATGAATGTGACCGTCCTGTGCCCCACTGCCTCCTCTATAAAGTCAACAGAACAAAAAACAAACACAATGTGACAGTTTGTTTGTAAATGCAGTGAAAACTTTCTTTCTCACTCGTTTTCTTCCATAAACAGTGTGTTGATGGATGGACGTGTTCCTCGTCTCTGTTTAAAGGACAACCTGTGCAAGTTAAAGTGTCGACACTGGTGTGTGTTCATCCTCCGCCGGGCGGCTTGATGGCATCAGTTTATTTACATTAAACTGTCCATCCGTGGCAGCGCTAATGACAGCGTTGCAGGTGTTGCAGGGTCACAGCCATAATCATATGCCTGATACCCCGTGGAGCGAATGGTGTGGAACTGCGTGGGCGAGCTGCTGTTCAGTATTCCAGTCACGGCTCGTTTGCATTGAGAGCTGTCCAGGCCAGTCCAGTGTGATTAGCTGACCACAGCAGTGTGGAGTTGCACCCCATTATCATTAAACGGTGCCAGTCATGAAGTCATATACTCCTCTCTGTCTCTCTAATTACACCCCCACTGTTGGGCTCCAAGCAATTACTGCCCGCCGCCGGAGCGCTTCATCGTTCATTAGGCACACGTAACGGACACATAAACAACAAAAACAAAAGAAAAGGTGGAATCACTCGCAGTTCTGCTGAACAACAAGCAGATCGCCTTGAAGAAACAATTTTGAGTTTATTCTTTTTACAAAAACCAGCGTTCAGGAGAACGCTGCTGCAGAACGAGGCTCCACAGACAGACCTTCTGGAGGAACATGTCGGATGTCTCCATGTCTTCATGTTCTGTCCTTTGCGGTGTTTTCTTCTGTGTACTGAAGGTCTTTATTGTGTATTTAATGCCTAATGGCAAAAAAAAAGATCATTTCCAAACAGAAAAACAGGCCGTCACATGTGGTAGTTGTGGAGCTCTGCAGCTGGCTTTTGGGCCTCGTTTATACAAGAACGGATCGACATGTTCAAAAATAACATCGTTCACACCAGATCATTCTCAAAAACACCTCCATTTACACAAACCCTCACAAAAACGTTGTTAAGAGCTGCCAGACCTACAGGGGGCAGTGTAACGAGAAGCATAAAGCCATGCTAGCCAATCAGAATCCTGGAAAAAACACAACAACAAGTTACTTCCTGTTCAAAGATAATGGCCTGAGGTTGGTTTGTTTGGACCGACAGAGATGGAGCTGCTCCTACATGTGGTGTCAGAGACACAACAAGGAAAATACTTTAAAACACTGACTTTCTATCAGAGCAGCCGAACTGTAAACATGGCCGCCGCACACATGTGACGCTGATGACGCTTTACTGTGACGTCAAACTCCGTCTCCTCTGGTCTACATGCAAACGTGTAGAGTTGCTTCGTAGCTTCGTCCAGACGAACTGAGACATCACCGTGTAGGCTGCGTGTGAACAGGGCCGTGGAAACTACATGCAGCCTGATGGGTGATATATTTACACAACACCAAATCTAAGATCAGATCATACTGTATTGATCCCAGAGGAGATATTCAGGATCCTGTGATATCCTGTGAAATCTGATATGTTTTACACTTTCTGATTTCATTCTATGTCCAATGGTAAATAATGAATAGAGTTATAATTCTATATCAACGAGTCAGATGTCAGCCGTTTAAAACAATAATGTTATATTTCATTAGAACAGTTCATAAGCATGAGGACTGTCAGTGGTCCAGATCATGAGGCTCATAAGTGTTTAAGCAGAAGTCAACTTGGCGTCTTCTTGGTTCCTCACCTCTCATCCAAGAGGCTGAGATCTGAGGAATACTCCTGGATAAGAAGTGAAACCCTTTCAGGAACCAAAAAGACGTCAAGCTGCCCTCTGCCGAGGCCCGTAGGATTACCGTAATCACCTGCAAGCAGCCCTGAAGAAGGAAGGCTGTGATTTACACATTATATGACCTCACTTCCTGTGACTGGGAGAAGAACATCGAAGACTTTGTGCCAGAATAATATCAGGACTAAATAACTGTAGCCATGAATGAACTGAACCACAAACTGAAATAAGAAGTTAAATATGATGCTGAGTTGTACAGATTGTGCTCAGGCTGACCCCAAACATGATCATATGAAGAACTGCAATGAATGTAGACTTGACCACACAGGTACCGAGGCGGTTCTGATTCTGTATCAAACAGGAGGAAAATGTCTTAAAAAACTCATAGTTGAGGTACAGAAGCTTCAGTCTCTCCTCAGCTGGCTTGTGGTTCAGTAGGACCTAAAACGACATCGACACTGAGATCATCTGGAAAGACGTCCGTCAGCAGGGTCGGGTCGGAAGCTGTGGTCGACAGCAGACATTTGCTGAGCGAGATGCTCCGGCGTTAGCGCGATATGTAAGGAAGAGCAGAGGACGGACTCTTCCTCAGGTGACTGAGTGTCAGCACAGGACGTGATTAAACTGTCAGAACAGTGCGTCGATAATTGCAGAGAGAGGAGGTTATTGTAGGCTGCTGGTGCGTAGACCCCTCATTACAAAGATGGATGCACATCTGAGGGCTCAGCGGCACAAAAACCACAACGATGTGGAAGACAGTAATACGGTCAAATAAGCCGTCCTTCATCATATAACAAGCGAGCAAGTGCATGTGTGACATAAATGACGAGAACCTGAAGCCTGGACCTCTACAGTCATCAACCCAGTGGTTCTGTTGGGGGTCGGCTGTCATGGTTTGGGTCCAATTGTCCCCTTATAAGGAGGGATCACTGCAGATGAATACAGCGATGTTCTGGATGATCATATGGACCCAATGAGGAAGGATCCTGGTGGAAGTGGTCCCATCCAGGATGACCAGGCCCCCATCCAGAGGGGTCACTGAACAGTCTGATGAGTGTGAAATCAACGTGAATCATGTGCTGTGATCCACTTCAACTCCTGCGGGAGATTTTGAACCAAAGTTAAATTAAATTCTGTTTATTCATACAGTGCCGCATCCCAGGGAACGTGACACAGTCAGGTGAAGACCTTGTCTTATAGGAAGAAACCCAACAAATCAGGAGAGTCCCTCTGAGCAGCTGCTTGGCGACAGCGTCAAGGAAAAACATCCCACTGAACAGAAAGAACCTTCCAACAGAACCGGGCTCAGGCAGGCAGTCATCTGCCTCAACCATCTCTAGTGACGGAAAAATGAGACAGAAAAGAAGAGCGAATAGAAATCAGCTGCTGCTTTCCACCATGATCACCAAANACTGGAGCTAGCTAAGCTAACGCCTCCAGGCTCCTCTGGTGTCACTGGTACCGAGCAGACAGACGGTTCATTTACCGGCGAATCTCACGGAGGGTCTGGACCGGGCGGCGGCAGCAGACCGTCGGCCTCCCCCGGCCTCAGCCGCCGGTTCCCCCCCGGTAGCCTCGGCCTCTCTCTCCCTCTTGCGGCTCTCGGCGCGGCCGCTCCGCAGCTCCAGCTCGTGTCGCTGCCGCCTCAGCTGGGTCAGCAGGTTCTGGTTCCGCTCCCTCAGAGCGTCCAGTGGATCTGTGGACATTTTAAAACACAAACCGAGTCTCTTTTAACAGACTGACGGAGAAACAAACCGGGAAGTTTGAGGCTCTTTTGTGTTTCAAACATCGGCATCCATCGGCTCCATGACAACGCGTTGACAACAGTGATGTGATTGGCTGTTAGCAGTTTACCCACAATGCCCTGCGCGCGGGCTCAGGCTTTTCTTAAAGGGACAGTGGTCCGTTTATTCAAGCTGCAGGACAGGGCGCCAAACAGCAGAGGGCGCTGTTGACCTGCTGTGATCCAGACTGATGTTCTTGTAGAGTCAGTACCACGTTCCTGGATTACTTTACGGCACAAGTAACGGTGTAGCTCACCAAAGTAACGCATCCTGCATTAAAGGATCAGTCCGGCCAAGTTTTCTTATTAATCTCCCACAGAAAGGCCTCATATGTGCAGATCTGATTCAAGACACTTTATTGTCATTAAACACGTGTGTCCATGAAGGTGCACAGTCAGGACACGGACTCAGAGAAAAGAGGGAATAAATAGAATAAATAACAATTAAACAATGTCCACCACGCACACAACAACATCCAATCACTGACTCACACACCGCTCTGAACACCACACGGTCACATCGGTACCAAACGGACCAGGTCGATACCACTGGACAGTCAGATGTTCAGATGCTGCACCTTATTGCTCAGTGTGACTGTGGCTGAGGGGCAAAAACGGTTCTGGAGTTCCTACTTGTTCCTCTTTGGTTTGGATTATTGTGGTTTGTGTCTGTGTGTTGTATGAGCTCCACCAGAAGTTGGACCTACCGGGACATGTACGGCTGTACTGCAGGATTTTTACATATAAATAATCCTCCGTCTCTGCCAGACAAACTCCCACAGCGCTCACTTAGCTGATCAGCACCAGTTTAATTTGTAGCTCACCAGAGTTTTAAAAAGCGTTCCTGATGCATTTCATCTCAGGTTAGCCAGAGCTGAAGAGTGGAGCAGCCAGGAGATGGTGTCATCTACTGTGGATGAATCTGGGAACCGTCCAGGAACCGGTTCTGGTTCTCCAGATTTAAAAGATGTTCACAGAAAGGACTATAGACAAAGTANAGTGTGCTTGGTTGTCTGTCTCTAAGTGTAGCCCTGTGATAGACTGGTTACCTGTCCAGGTGAACCTGCCTTCACCCTGAGTCAGCTGGGATAGGCTCCACCCCCCATGACCCTGGTGAGGATTAAGGTGTAGAGATGATGGATGGATGATTGATGTTCTATCGCTGCAGTCCGAGTTCTGTGTGAACCCTCACAGTGTCAGCACCTGGTGACCCAACGCCTTCCTGAACATGTTCATAATGAGCTTTAGGGTCCTGATTCTGCTGCCATTGGACCAAGTCATGCTACTATTCCCTTCCGTGTCCAGCCTGTGCACTAAGCTAAGCTAACCAGTTGCTAAGCAACATAATGAAGCGACAGATGAGATTCTCCAACATGGTCACATGACTGATCGTACTATTAGTTTTCAGCATTTATGCCAGATGTTTACACAACTGACTTAATTTACAACATTTGGTGTGGATTGCATGTGATTAGCGTTTGATTTCCACAAGTGTAAATAAATGTGTTTTATTCTATAAAAGCTGTTTGCTTTCAATTCACAAAACGGTAAAAACAGTATGGTTTGGTAGAAATGGTATGATATGATGGACATGACGACAAAACCCGACACAGGATTGATACCAGCTGATCAGAAAATGGTCTGAATAATAAAGTAACAGCTAATTAAGATCAATTAACATCAGAGCTGATTATCATCCGTTGCACCGTGTTTCTGCATCCAGACGTTTTTGTCTCATGAAAGTGATTCACATACAGCTGAGCTCCCATCTGCTCCGAGCTGAGACCAAAGACAAGGAGAAGCAGCAGTAAAACCTTATTTAGAATCCAGTCCAGTTCATTGTCATGGTGCTGTTCATCCACAGCAGCACAGGATCCAATCACTTAAAGCAGTTTAAATAAACAAGTGTTTGCATCTCCGGATCAGCAGCTCAGCGTTCTGACAGCTGGAGGCATGAAGCTGTTGATCAGGAGATTCTTCCTCTAACGCTCCAGAAACGTTTGGCTGTTTAGGTGAGCTGTTAGTTTGATTCACTTCAAGTGAAGATCCCTCTGAGTGAACGTTGCTCAAATGAAGCTTTCTGAGTTTCATTGTCCATAAAATTACAAAAGTTTGACATGACTTTAAAAGCCTGCCTGTTAAAACACGGGTCCTGAGTTAAACAATGGTCCAGGCAGACCAGAGGTGTGGTTACACAAACCGCCCTGTGTGAGGGCTTTGAAAAGAAAACGTGGTATTACCACATGGTCTGCTGCTCGCAGCTATCTCTGCTGCTTTATCTGATCTGAAAAGTCTCTGTCGACTCCCCTGTTGCAGAGCGGCCGCCGTCACAGCGGGGATATGAGAAGGCAAAAGAAAATAACCTGGAGCCAAGGTACACATCCAGCCGGTGTGCTCCGTGTGCGCTCTGTGTGCACGTGCACCAGGGTTTTGTTCTTTCAAACACATGAGCCATTTGTCCTTTTCAAGAGCTGCACCTCTTCCAACAAGCTTTTGATATTTTCCTGGAAACACATAAATAAGGCTGAGATTGTGACAAAGACGATATGATAATTTCAGCGAGTCAAAGAGAGAGAGCAGCGCTCTGACAGGAGGGGTGACCAACAGGATCGGCCAGGGAAGTGGTTTCTGCTGATAAAGGAAGGGAAAGGGTCGATTGTCCCTACTGCTGCAGCGATAGTGCTGGATGCCATTAAGATAAGGAGGATTAGACCTGCCACAATGCTGTCCAACCGGAGACAGGCGGACAGAGAAAGACCCCGACCAGGAGGAGGGCTGGTGTTGCTTCAGCTCTCAGTGAGCAGAAAAACTCACTCAGTCATGACGACGTGATGATTTAATTTGATATAATTAAGGACAATTTCAGCATCTGTCACCATCAACAGTACGGAAACGCACAACTTGAGATGTTTTATTATCATGAAGGAGTTTTGTAGATCTAACGCAGCCAGCATCAATCTGGAACAAATGACAGCTCATAGTTTTTCACTGCTCGTCTCATTTTCAGACACAACAGATGGATATTTACAGTGAAAAAGCTCAACAGAGCCACAGGAAGCTACCTGCCATCTCCTCCAGGTGCCCACCCAGTAAAAAGATCTGTAAAGTCCATAGAAAATGTATTAGATGCATCATACTGGCAAAATAACCGCTGTTTATGTGTGAGACATGAAGACGGCAGCGCCCAGTGTGCATGAGGACGTTTTAATCTGAAACAGAGGAATATGCAGTAAGAGGGAGAACCAGCGTCTCTGTGTCCTGGTGAGGCTGAAGCTCTGCCGTCCACCTTCTGCTATGGATCCACAGCACAGAACGCTCCTCTGATCCATCTGAGTTCATGTCAACATCTGTAAACTGTCTAAATGGGAAACAGTCCTGTTAGCTGGTGAACACAGTGGAGCAGCCAGAAAGTCAAATATTACCTTTGGGAGTCGGAGGATATGAAAAACAGAGTTAAAAGAGAGTAAATATTGGACTTAGATTCCAGAGGCAACACAAAAATGACTCCAAGCGACTGATGATGTTGGTCTTTACCTGCTGTAAACAGTGTAAAGAAGCAGCCACTGTTGGATTTGTCCATTCTGGGCTCCTGTAGAGCAACAACAGCGCAATATTTGTAAAAAAATAAAATAAAATTAAAACATGATTCTAAATATTAAGCTCATCTCCTAAATTCTATACACATAAACTAGGGCTGGATGTTTAACTGAAGATGAATCATGATTTTGGCTTCAAACACTTGCAGGTGAGCGACGTTCAACCTTCATGCTGAGCTCACAGAAACTCTACAGACTGACAAAAGGCTCACGTAGATGATCGCTTTGTTCCAGTTTGGATAAATCTGACATTAGAAGGTCTTGTTCAGACAAAGATGGATTTAGACAAATGTGCCCCAAATGTTTCTGAGAACTTTTCATGAATCCACGTTCTGGTCCGGTGTTGTTTTAACGGATAAAGATCCGACAGCGTGACCAGAACACAGACGTTCCACCTTAAAGGACACGACGGTGTAGACGACAGGAGAAGGAGGAGAACCGGCTGCTGGAGGCACCTGAACGTCCACAAGTCCAGCATTCGTCTCCTCAGGAGTCGCTTCAGACGGCGTGTTAGACAGACGATGTGCCACAGGAAGCTCTGGATGTGCTCAGCAGCGTGATCAGGCCCACAACCACACTGGGCAGCTTTTCTGAGCCCTTCAGGCTGAGAGGCAACGACGTTCCACAAACCAGCATCAACAACCTCATTAACTCCACGAGGCGCAGATGTGTCCCCCTCCACTGTGGACACGGTGACTTATGAGTTCTGGTGTGTGACCCCACTGTCCATCTGCCCCGGATCATTTCCAACGTCGTGCACACTCGATTGTTTCATGAGGTCCATTCTGCTGCAGAGACAGAGCAACACATTCTGACTCTTCTAAATGAAAAAGAACCTAATCACATATTACACAAGATGTTGATGTTTCTGTTCGGTGTATTATCTGGGATGTGTTTGCGGTGCTGTTGGACTGGACTGCTTCATACTGAGAGGTGTTTCTAATGTTTTTACACTGAGGAAGGAGGAGGAGGGATGAATAATAAAACACTCTTAATGCTGTGCAGCAGCAGCAGCACAAACTGTGAGTTGAATTAACACCTCCCAGAGAAAAACAGAAAATTAGAAACTTGGTAAAAAGCAAAGTGTATGCTTTGTATGGAAAATGGAAAATGTGACAGATTGAAAGGTACAGCGTTCTGTAAAGGATAAGGAAGTGACAATGAAATAAAAGCTCAGATCTGTGCTGACGTGCAGGACGTCATTCATTATGTGTTATTGTCTCATGTCTTTTACATATAAATACATCCATAAGGCCTTCAGCTGCCGTCACACTTCCTTGTTTTGTTTTAATTTTCTGATTATTTCTGTGCGCTTTGATAAAATAATTCAAAGTAGAAAACAGTTTGTTCTCTGTGTTGTCTCTGGGACGTGATGAACACACAAACCAGACGAGTCATGTTCTATAAAATGCTGTTTATGCTTCTGTTTAACTGAAAGTCGGGACATAAATGCAGAAAACAAACATGTCCAGAAAGACAGAACGACACCGGAACACGTGTTCAGTGTAGCACGGCCCGCAGAAGTTTGGACTTGTTTTCCAAAGAATGTTCCTCCAGAGCGATTATGCTCAGCCATGCTTCTGTTGATCTGAGCCTGGAGATGCCAGTAAAAGGAGTCACGCTGTGGTCACTCGTATTTCAGCACCTGGAAGCCGCCATCTAATGGACGCTGATTCGTGAGACGAGGACAAGGACCAGGAGGTTCGCCTCGCATTCGGTTCCTCAGAGTCGGCAGCAGGACCTCATTTTGGAGCTTTTATGTGAGCGCTGTGCTTAATGGCCTGTGTGGCTTCTCTGAGGCCTATTAAACATATGCAGTAAATCAACAGAGGAGGAACATACCAGTTAATCACAGCCTTTGTTTCGGGCTGAGGGGAACACAATGAATCTAACCGGATGCCACGGAGCCGACAAAGAGTGCGTAAGGACAGCTGACACTGTCATGTCAGACAGACAGACGGCCTCAGCAGCCACCTGCGTCTAATAGGAATCAATGCCACTATTTCATCCAGTCTCTGCCTCTCTCAACAGACCAGCCTTACGTAACCAAGAGGCTCTGCATCCTGACTGGCAGGAAGAGACAAATGCGAGATAGTATCAGCTCATCAGAAAGCCACAATAGGTCGTTTTGGGTTGGTTTTTCTTTCTCAGAATAGCACGGGTTTTAAGAGCAGTAATTAAAAACTTAAATAGCTGCAGAAGCTGACTGCTGGTCTAATTCAACAACGTTTAACCCGGGACGTAATTAATAGGCAGAGCAGAATGTAAAGCCATGATTGCTGCTATTGTCACCCAGCAAGCTCTAAAATAGTCATTTTGGACAAAAGCAGAAATAAAAACTGTGTGTTAGTTAAATGCTTATTAATGACTGTCTACGATGAGAACACACAGAGTTCTACGCCGTCCGCTGGACCCACAGAACAGAACATTACCATTTGGTCCACATTACACACACTTTACTCTCATTTTTACTTATGAGATGATTTTCTGATAAAATATGTAAACCGCCGTCCGACAACAGCAGCATCCTTCTGCCGTCTTTCTACTCGCAGACTTTCCAGCACACATCACATTTTGTGCCTCGAGCTTTTAGCAAAGTTGAGCAGCCTTCTCCATCAAACACACGCAGCAGCATTCATCAACAATAGCCTAATTAAAAAGCTTTCAAGCTTGTTTTTCAGATCCACTAATCACCGAGACAGTCCGGTATTTGTTTATGGCCTGTGTGAGAACAAACGGCCTTACAGCAAATAAATCTCCAATAATCGAATTTGAGGCTCCCTACTTAAACATAATTAGACTCTTGCGAAACCGAGGATATAGTCGAGTGTGTAACATGCAATATGCAGGATGGAAGCTGCAGCAAAGTGAAGATTTGATGGGAGCAGAACAGCTTGTTGTACGTCAGGTAATGATGCCGACAAAATGGAACAAGCAACGCATTAGCTGGCAGCGCTGAGACGCGGCTAGCAGAAAGCTGGAGGTTGTGACTCCTGGAAACCAGCTCAATGAGATTCAGAACAGAGAGACGGGAGGAAAGAAAAAGCTCCACCAAAGTAACCCGCGCTTTGTGTTCGTCTCCCCTGAATTAAAGCTCAAATTAGGAGCAGCACATTAGGCTGAGCAGATGGATTTCTGCAAACAGCAGCTAAGATAAAGCAGGTTTCTTACATTAATGGTGCTTTTTCCAGCTAAAAGGTAGCGACGTGGCTCTTTGTAGCACTCAGACGAGCATCCAGAGCGTCTTCAGTGGGATGACTTCATAGTTCAGAGGCGCAGAGAGGTGACCTATCACCGTTATGCCTGATTACATGCTGTCTCGTGGCCTTTTCTGATTCCTGAAGTCCACCTCAGTGCTCTCCTGCAAAAACAAGATGTCGACCTGAACCAGGCGCTCAACACAGAGCCGGCATCCTCTGACCTTAAAGATAAATCAGTGAGAGGTCAGGAATCTGCTCTACATTTAAAATGCACAGTCCTCTGGTAGACATTGTTTTCTCTCACTTTTAGCTGAACTATGCAGGATTTCAGAGGTTATTTGAGGCAAATCAAATGATGTGTGCATTACAGAGCTAACACACGTATCTTGTGAAGCTAAACTAAATGTAATCAACTTCTGAATGTCTGTGACCCTGATCATCAAATCCAAGATCAGCAGCGAAACCACACGAGCTGCAGAAACACTTGACGCAATGGGTATATGAGAGGAAACGTTCTCCCTGCTAAATAAAATCCATGAATAAATTATTAACTCAGTTGCAAATCTCGACTCCCCACCGCGCTGCACTCCATCAGTCATGTTAAATGACTGCAGCTCCTCACTTATGAACGTCTCTGCCACTCTCCTCTCTGCGGTTTAACAATGCCGCATGCAAAGTGACACATATGCAACAAATATGTCGATGCATCGCCAACATATGTTTGGTTTTTAGTTTCTGTCTCTGTATTTATTCACGCTCCTGTCTTGGGGAGCAACTGGGTGTCTATGAGCATCAGGCAAACACACTGCCGTCCCTACTTTCTCTTTATTATCAGCTAATTAGTGTGTTTAATCAGGCTGATAATGAGCCCAGACGCCATGCCATCTCAGTCTGACACCAGGCCAGTGTTCAGATCCCCACCGGGCCAGATCTTCCCAAAGTGGACGGAGGCATGACGAGGACGTCGGCTGTTTGCTCTGATGGTAGCTGCAGACTGTAGATCTGCACCTTTGTGGCTGCTGGATTATCTGAAACATGTCTGTCTTATCTCCCTGCAAGCTCTCCAGATTTCTCTCCCCTGCAGCAGCTGGGGCCACTCCACCGAGAGGGAAACGAAATAGATGCTCACTGTAACACATCCAATATCCTGCTGACCCCTCAGCTGCACCAGTCAGAGCCACCTCCAGCCCTTCTTAGTGTTATCACAGTCATGTAATCAAAAACAATCCAGTCCTATCACCTCCCATCTGCCTCCCTGCCTCCCTCCCTCTCTCCCTCCCTGCCTCTCCTGGCTCGCCCTCCTCCCTCTCTGCTGCCTCACTCAGTCCCTGAGCAGAACGCTGAGCTGGATAACGTCTCCTTCAACCCGCAGCACAGACTCATTTCTCTACACACCAGCTCTGAGTGGATGCTCAGCAGGGGTGTTGGAGATATTAGCGCGCTGTGGGAGGACGGCTCAGGGACTTCTACCATCCACACACTCCAGGTAAGCCTCCGGATCCTGCTCATTACATTCCTGCTCGCTGCCAAGTGCCAAAGTGAAAGTGGGTAAAGTTAGCCAGCCTTTAGGCATCACTCATGTCAGACCCTCAGCAGTCCCGGGAAGGATTTAGAGCACTGCTCCGGTTTGATTTCAAGCTGTTACAGACGTCTTTACATGTGGAAAATGTAAATGTCACCGCGGCGCACTGGGGGGCAGCTGCTGAGTGAATAAGCCTGAACTAGTGGAAGTGTGCAGATTGTTGGCACAGCCTGACCTCTCGGCTAATCCCTGTTTTGTTTGGAGCACTAAGTTTAGAGAAGAACAGTACCAGCCGCCGAACGCTGCCACATGTAATCTGAAAGTGCTCAAAAACAAGGAGACCTTAAAGCATTTAGCTCAGATTAGTCTCACTTTCAGGAAAAGAATCTTATTTGTGACACACTGAACCTGTGACCTGTCAGATTACAGCCTGTCTCCGGTATGTTAAGTCTGCTCTGTGCATCATATGACGGGTTACTCACTCCGTTTCTGGTCTTGGACGTGTCAGAGGTCCATCTTTAGCAAATGATTTACGGTCACTGTGTTCAGCACTTGATAGAACAACAAGTTTGAATCCGTGAGCCGACTGAACACAGCTGAATGCTTTACCTGTGCACATGCTCTGTAGAAACAACAACAACACGTCCTGTGATCTCAGCTGCTGGTTCTCTGTGTTAGAAGAAATCTGCTGCGTTCTCTGGAGTCATTCATAGGATCTGAGAAGCTGTTGATTCATGTTATGAGTTACTTTTTATTTTGGTGTTTGCATTTAGTCTGTATACGACGTCTCTCTTGTCTCTGCCTGTTTGGGTTCCTTTGTGTTTTATTGCTGCCTTCTTGCACCAAATCGCCCCTGAAACAGATATTTTAATCTCAACAGGTCTTTTGTTTAAGTAGACATGTCGGCTCGGCCATGCCGGACGGTGTGATGCTTCCTGCTGATAGACTGTGAAGGACAGAAACGCTGCTGATCCTGTTGGAGTTCTTCTGGGCTGTCGGTCCGGTACTCGGTGAAGGCTCAGATTGTTGTGCTGAACTGAAAGAAGTGTTGTGAATAACGATGTGATTGCTTCCTACAGTCAGTGAACCTCTGAAATGAATAAAACAAAATGATTTGAACCATCACAGAGGATATTCATCTGGATAGCAGAGCCGCTGGTGTCGAGCTGATTCAAACCGTTGTACTGGTTCTGTCAGAGGTCCGGTCCTACCGAGCTGTGGGTTTACAGATTTTCACCATTAGATTGTGTCTCTTGTGAGATTTTAACTCGAGTCAGTTCAACATGTTTCCTGTTTAAGCTGCAGTAAAATGTTCAGCAGCCACATGTTTCCCTCATCGTGATGTTTCTGAGCTTCATGTCACATAGAAAAGTGAAGATGGTGGTTCTCTGAATAACCAGCGAGTGAAGCTCCACCTGAGCGCTGGTGGTTCTGACTGTGTTAAACATACATGGACTGAAGCCCTCTAGCTGGGCGGTCGCAGCTCAACGGTCCAGGGTTTGGGCATGAAGCTGGAGATGTTTCAGTCTCTGCAGCTTCTGCGTTCAGTCGATGAAACTCAGACGGGCTTCTGGGGTCGACTGCTGCCCTGCAGGGATGCTGCTGGTGTTTAGTCTCTACAAAGAGTCTGTCCTGGACCATGTACAACATTCACTACAGGCTGACACTTCATCCAGTCAAATAAATTCAAATACAAACTGAAATATGAATAAATATTTATGTAATGTTGTTAGTAATATGATCTACGTCTCTCCTGTTGTAACTCACGTGTCTCCTTCATCTAAACAAACACATCCACGGGGGTCCATCCACGTTCTAACGCAGGAATCAGAACATCGTTTAGCGATCGCTGCACAGAGTGATATTAAACTAAAAGCCATGAAGACCGATTTCATCAGCTGAAGATCTCTTATAGACACGGTTCATATTGTGATTACTGACAGCCTGGTTGGTGGTCACGGTTCTGGTCAGAGCAGCAGCTGCCTCTGCACCTTGTCATTTTAGTGTTTCTCTTGTTGTCATGCTGCTGAGTGGCCTCATGTTCGCTCTGTTTGGCATCTCGTAAGATTTATAACCTGAATTACTGCTTTGATTAGAAAAATCCTTTTTAAAGCACTTTGATCAAGGATTCAAATGTTTTATCTTTATTATCTAGAGTTGGAAATGAGCCTTAATGTTCTTGTTTTTTTCTTTCCCTGTGAACACAATTAAACACACACGTCATAAACACGTTATTCTAATTATTTAAAGCTAAAGTCTGCATCCTGTCAGAAACAAAGCGGTGATGAAGGACCATGAAGGCAGCATCTGAAGATGTAAACAGCTCTTTATAGTTGGCAGCTAATCTGGAGTTGACACAGCAGGCTGCACATTATTTCATAGTTCTCCATAAAGCCCGGCCGTCTTTACAGCAGCGTCTCCGTGCAGTCTGACGCTGATCCAGTTTGCGGACGGCAGTGAAGCTCTAACAAGCCCCTGCCTGCTCTTCATCACCGTAGTGCCAGATATGTGCCCATGAGTATTCATCAGGAAGGGCTAATGGGGCGCAGCAGTGTGAACCTCTGATTTACAGCGCGGCCGCTGTCACGCCTAATGATAGGGCAATGGGGATGGTTATGGAAGAAACAGGTGCTGCAGAGTGAATAGATGCAAAGCAATGCCGCTGAAAGCCACGGGTGATTGTTGTTTTGTCCCCTGCACAAACGCTCATTTGCAATATTGTGTTCACACGTACATAATCATTGTGCATAGAAATGAGCTCTCTTGAAGTCAGCTTATGGCTCCGGGTGCATGCGTGGGGGGTGGCTGAGGTGGGGCCAAACATTTCAAACAACAATGGTCAGAGTGCGTAAGTTTAATGGTTAATTTACTGTTTGCCAGATTGTCTCCAGCATTAACGTCACATTCAGTCTCCACAATGCCGCTCCGTCTTCGCCTGATTAACTGCATATGGAGGGAAATGATAAAGCCAGAAATAAGATGAGCTCCTATGCAGCGCAAAGTTATTAAAACAGGTGGACTGAGCCCCACAGAGCGTCGTTATTACAGTAAACCAGTCGATTTAACAGCCACGGCCTCCCGCTGGGCCGGGCCATACGCACTCATTGATTGTGTAATCATTCACGATATTGAAAGACAGCGACCAAATTACCTCGACAAAGCACATCATAAATCATATGTATTGATGGGAGCGTGTCTTTGTCCTCCATGGACACCTTCTGTGAGACGTCTTGCTTCCAGATGAGGGACTGAGTGGACGTTGAGGCCTCTTGAAGCCAAACTGTGTGTCAGCGGCTCCCAACTGATTCTGACTTGATGCAGCTGAAGAAGAAGCATCAGAGGATCTGCTGGTGGCGTCTGTCACACACTTTGGCTTCAGAGTTGGCATGAGGCTGTCAGCACTTCACGCAAACTGTTTTCATCGTCCTGGTTTGTTTTATGTGAAGGACTAAAGAGCTGCATGCATCCTAAACTGCCTAAAGTCAGAACAGAAGGAAAGACATTTATTTATGACTTAAATATTTTTCCAATAGGTCTTATCTCTTTAATCAGACTCTTGGTGCCCTCATTTTAGGAACCAGTACCAATAGGATCCTCTTTAAATGTACAAATCAGTAGCAGAGTAAATCAAAGCAAGAAAATAAAACCATTTTCCTTCTGTATAGTTAGAATTTGTCTGTTTTTTTCCCACTCAAAGGTTGGTGCGAGCCCTCCAGCCACTTAGACTTTATGGAGCCTGTCAGGATTTTTCAAGGTATAAAAAACAAAAAGTTAAAACCCAATTCTGTGGATTCAACTCACTCAATAAATAGTGATGAAACCGTGGAAATGAAAGCTGAGCTGATGCGCTCTACATCACTTCAGCGAGCAGCAAACTGTGCAACAAGACCGACAGTTTCACAACTCCTGTCAGTGAAGTTGTTGTAGGTGTTCAGCAGTGGAAGCTCACTCACTGCAGGTCAGCTGGCACAGTTTACACTGCACAGCCCACACACACACACACACACACACACACACACACACACACTCAGCGGTAGCTCTCTGCCTGGACCATCCCACACTCCAACGGTGTCTTTCCTTCCCGCAGAGCCGGCAGTGAGGAGGAATATGGGCAAATCCGAAAGCCAAATGGATATCATGGAGAAATCAAGTAAACCTGGAAAGCGTCGTTGGACTGTTGCAGAGATCGGTCTGTCTGTGCTGCTGCTGTTGGTCAGCTGTGCCTTGGCCGGGCTGGTGGTCCTCTACACATCGGCTGTGAAAGGTAAAGATCCACATCCCACAGACGGCAGCAGTGATGGAGAGAGTCCCTACTGTGGCTGCTAGTGGCTAAAAGACAACACTGACAGCAAATGTCCTCCAGAGATTACATGCTTTATGCAAAACTGATGCACGTGTATCACTGGATAACCTTAAGAGAGAGTTTAAATTACTTTTTCCTCATAAAAATAGGCAAAATAAGTGTGTTACCTCAAACACAGTCCTGACTTCTTAGTAGGAAAATGCTTCTAGAAAAGTTATGATTCTGTTTGAGGCTTGATTGTGTTTCTCTTCTCAATCAGTTTGCAGTAAAACTTAGACTAAAGCCCTGCAGACTGTGTCTAATGTCGTGGTTTCTTCCTTCAGAACAATCAAACCGGCCGAGCGTGTCGAGGAGCTCAACAAGTGAAGGTGAGTGTGATCTGGTAAAGCGAAGGCCGGATGCTGGCTGAGTGGGCCGGCATGTGTCATATTCCTGCCCGCGCCTCTCATAGACACTGTAATACTATAATTCCCTTTTCTGCCTGATCAGCAGCGCCACACAAAAGTGAAACAACACAGTCACTGCTGACATAGACATTGCCTCTCCCGCGCCGACCACAGATCTAGACTACTTAGAGTTAGCTCTGCACAACAACAGCCTCCCGGTCCGGGCTGAGGGGGCGATTGGTCCACGTGCTCTCTCATCATTGTTGACACTGATTCTTCCAGGCCAGCTGTTTCGCTCCAGCCTCAGCAGCGTGTGCACAACTGCAGACTGTGTTACAGCAGGTGAGAGGCTCGGCCTTTTCTCTGATGCCCCTGCTGTGTTAAGTCACCCCTCGTTGTTGCACAACCACATGTCACCACGCTGTCCTTCTCTCTGTTGCCCTACAGCTGCTCGGCTCTTGCAGAACATGGACAAGTCTGTGAAGCCTTGTGATAATTTCTACCAGTACGCCTGCGGGGGCTGGCTGGAGCGACATGTCATCCCGGAGACCAGCTCCCGCCACAGCGTCTTTGACATTCTGAGGGACAAGCTGGAGATTGTCCTCAAAGGTCAGCTGTGTTGCATCAGCAGTCGGTCAGTGGGCTGCAGCATGCAGATCCGAGCGTGGGCGCCGCTCAGACTGTCTCCATACGCTCTGTTGTTGCAGGTGTTCTAGAGACGGGCAGCGGGCAGGACAGAGACGCCATCAAAAAGGCCAAGATCCTCTACAGCTCCTGCATGAATGACAGTAAGGCCCTCTTCACCCAGAATGCCTCAAATAAAGTGTTTCTGCTGAAAAAGAGACGAGAAACTGGGTATGTGGAGAAAAACAGCTTTTTGATCACATCAGTCAGACCTGAACACCACATGTTTTACAATCACACCGGCCAAAGCCTGACGGGAAATCTGCCGGGATGAAGTTTGTATTATTATTATTATTATTATTATTATTATTATTATTATTATTATTGTTATTATTACATCCAGTTCTTTCTCTACTTTCCAGCTGTGCACAACAACAGCTCCCAATGATATCATGAATGCAACCTGGATAAACTGTGGTTGGTGGTTGGATGGAGCAACCAAACAGAATGATTCATTTAATAAAATAACTTGACTGCTGAGTTGTTGACTGTCTTAGCTCTTGTAGCTTAGCATTAGTGACTGTATTGCTGCAGGCCTTATGACTGAAACTACACTAAAGAAGGATCCATCTCCAGTTCACAGTTACAACAACCCCACTTTAGCTCATCTGTGTCATGACTCTTGTGTTTTTAAGTTGCCTTAAAGATCAGGAACCAGCTCTAAACATGTCGTCTGAATGCTTGAGACCACAGTGTGGTTCTGATACTGCCTAATCTGTGCTGTCCCTGCAGGCCTCATCGAGCAGCGCGACTCGCAGCCGCTCCTGAAGCTCATTGAAAGCATCGGAGACTGGCCCGTGGCCTCAGAGGACTGGAACAGCACCACAGGTGAGACGAGCAGTCACATGTCCACATGCAGCGCCGTCCACACAAACAAGCGCTCCTCCTCCTCAAACACATGCGTTCACACAAAGGCCCGTGGAGCTATATTTGCTCTCAGTGAATTGCTGAGCACAGGCTTTGTTGGCGGGATCAAGAGGCCGGTCGAGGCTTTTCAGCTGAGCAGTCAGGTGTGGAGTTTGGGAGGGTGATGCGTGGGCAGAGGAGCAAGTCCTCAATCAGGACTGTGAAGGATGCTTTAAATAGTCTACGCTGCTCTTCCCCGTGCTCCTGGCTCTTGCCACTTTAATTAAATGTAATCATGGACGGTGGCTCAAACAGAATTAACCACGCATAGCTGCATCTGCACTCACAGATTTACACCCAGAGATGTGCAACAGAGGCACAGAGGCAGCCCCACCGAGTACTGCTGTACAGTCCTGGTAGACAAATTAAAACAAATAAATAAAATCTCTCTTTTATTGCAGAGGACGCGTGGAGCCTCGAGGACACACTGGCGACGCTGACGGCTCGTTTCCACAAGAAGGTGATGCTGGACATGTACGTGTGGACGGACGACCGGGACTCGCTGCGCCACATCATCTATGTGAGACGACAAACACAAACACATGATTGCACATAAAACCCAGCAACACGTTGAATTATCTGTCAATACGTTGCAGCTTCTCTGACTCACATCTGAGCACCTGCAAACTTCAACCTTTAAACAAAAACAGGAAGCACTTGGTACCGAACCATAGCTGCAGACTGACATCGTGTTGTGCTCCACACAGCGTCACTGATGTGTCCTCGTGTCTGTCGGCACACTGCTGGCGAGGCCGAGGGATGGTTTGGGTCAGTGTGTCAGCCGGTCCGGTTCACACACAAATATCTCAGCATCTATTTGTTTGATTGAAATTCATGGTTCCCACTGAATCCACAGACCGGCTTGGAGCACATTGATCGGATCAACATTTCTGTTTGTCCAACATTTTGATTTTGGGGCAAATATCTGCAAAAAAAACTTGAATAATAAACAACTTAGCAGCAGCATGCTAGCATCCACAGAGCTACGATATGAGATGTACAATATAAAACTACACCATGCTGCTATGCTATGCTAACCTGGCTATGGACCCGTCTTTCTAAGTTATATAAGACTGTATAGATGTAGATGATGCCAGCTAGTTCACTTCAGTTCACTGTTTTTTGACTGATATAATGTTACGAACACACACATTTAAATATTATTTTAGAATTCATAACTGCTGTGGTCATCCGTGTGTTTGGTCAGATCGACCAGCCAGGACTTGGAATGCCATCCAGAGACTATTACTTCAACGATGGAAACTACAAAAAGGTACTCACACACACACACACACACACACACACTTATCCCTGGTGGTATCAAACCATGCGATTGTTTTTGTTTTATTTAGTTTTGTAATATCTCCACCACAGTCCAGTTCTGGTGACCGGGGGGTTTGTTTGATCATGAAAATATCTGAAAAAGTCCCCATCAGTCAGCGCTGTTCTGTTGGAACTGTCTGCTGAGGAAACTGTTCCAATGAAAACTGTGAGGTCCTCTGTTGAGTAACTGGGAGTTTGTTTGAAGAGAGAACATGTATTCTGAAATGTTCCTTCCCACAAACACGGCTCTGTTCAGGTCTGTTGTTTGAGCAGACCTTTGATTTTGTCGGTGGAACACAAGCTGATGTGATTGTTCCACAGGTTCGAGAGGCCTACCTGCATTTCATGGTTTCCATTGCAAAGATAACCCGAGAGGACAGGAACCTAACTCAGGATGACGACCGAGTGTGGGAGGAGATGATGCAAGTGCTGGAGCTGGAGACCGACATCGCCAACGTGAGTGCCAGCCGCAACAGGAAATGGAATTGTGGGACGAGGGCTAAGGAAAATTAATAATGACAAGATGAAAAATGAGCCTCCAGTCAGTGAGAGAACCGGGCTGCATTTAGTGTGGACCCAGCAGATCAGCGGAGCTTCAACAAGACCTTGTTTTTTCTCCCCTTCATGCCTGTCAGGAGCATGACTGATGGGATGATGAAAGCAAAGCAGAATGTGAATATATAACCCAGAATGAGTGTACGGAGAGCTGACGGTTGTCTTCCTGTTGCTGGACAGGCGACATCACCGGCAGAGGAGCGCCAAGATGTCACCGTTCTCTACAACAAGATGACGCTGGGTGAACTGCAGAACACGTTCAGCCTGAATGTGAGCCGGATCCCTTCTGTCTTGTATGTTGAATGTGTGAGCAGATGAACAGCTGCAGCTCAGAGGGAGGAACGAATGAGGATGTTTGTATTTAAACTGTTGAGCAGGACAGCCGACCCACATCGAGCTCATTCACACAACAGCTATGAAAGTATCAACTCGTTTTGGGAAATGATCTCACTCACTTTCTTCTTGAAGGTTGGTTGAGATGACTGATACCTGCTATATGTGTACAGTAAGTATGAGAGTACAGTCAGCAACTAGTCGGCCTAGCTTAGCATAAGAACCGGAAAAGACCTGGTTTTGAAACCACAACAGAAAGCCGACACAGCAGACTGAAGCCACAGGACTTGTGCTGCAGTCAGCAGGCGGACCACTCAGCAGGTTGATGCAAACTAAAGGTAAAAAACAGGTGGTGCAAATAAGACGCTCTCAAGTGTCCTGATACAGAAACCAAGAGACTGCAGGAGACGGGTCACAGCAGAGTATTCGTTGGTGTAGTCGTGTTAGCTTTGTGCATGATGACACCTTGTGTGATGTTTACATCAAGGTGCCTCTTTGACTGAAAGCTCAGCACGTATAACACACGACTGTTTCCTAAAATAGTCTGCTGACAGTAATATTCATTATTCACATCACATCACAGTCTGAGAAACCTGAACTAAGGACGACCACTGAAACAATCGATTACATTTCCAGACAGTGGAGAGTGAATAAATATCCCCTAAAACACAAACAGACGACGCCTGTGTGGCTTCTACCAAACCATCAGCGAGTGAATACAGTTAAACCAGAGCTCTATCTTCACCTTACAGGTAGAGGGATTAGACTGGTCCTTAAATAATGGAGGGAGCTTATTCAGTTCCAGTCTCTGGCTGCAGGCAAACCGACAGAAAACACAGTTTATAATTGAATCTATACAGACTTAATGTTGCTTCAGCGGCTCTGGTGTTGGAACAGTGACCAGCCTCTGGTCTTTAACTGTACGTATGAGGGTGCTTCAGAAAGTCCTCGACCTCAGCAGAATACATCACAGGACAAAGACTGTTCTTGCATTACTTTTCAAAATAGTCTCCTTTGGGTGCCTCTACAGCTCACCTGGTTGAGCTGGTGTCCCACGTTCAGGAGCTACAGTCCCTGATGCAGAGGTCATGAGTTCGAGTCCTGCTCATGGTCCTTTCCTGCAGGTTCTTCTCCCCCACCTTCATGTCTGTCTCTTAACTTTCCTATCGAACAAAAGCCAAAAACAAAAAGGTCTTCTTTAACTGCAATGTGCTTGGTCCAGTGATGTTTAAGCATCACTGTCCTTTCGTGGAAGAAGGTCACATCTTGAGCCTCAGCAGCATCATGACCTCATCAGCACTCTGACTTTAACTTAAAAACGGTGACCATGCGAGTGGGATTTCAGTTTGTTAAAGAAGTCAGACAATGTGTAAGGGAAGGTAACGTAGGGCTCATGGGGCAACAGTTCGAAGCCACGTCTGGTTGCTTCTGCTGCCTGTGCTGCAGCAGCAAAGCTCTCCTTTTTTCTCTGAGTGCTTCAAACATCAGAGTTCTTGTGACGGCGATAAAAGGCCTCAAAATGGGAGCTGTGCTGTTTGTTTCTTGGTGAGGCCGAGAACGTTCTGAAGCAGCCTGGTCACCATGTTTTATCCACATTACCTCCAACTGAACATGTTAAACAGTCCAACGTTCGGCCTTTTGATTTCCAGGGTTTCAACTGGACACGGTTTATCCAGGGCGTGCTGTCCAGCGTGTCTGTCGACATCCAGGTGGAGGAGGAGGTGGTGGTGTACAGCTCCCCCTACCTGGAGAGGATGAATGACGTCCTGGCCAGACACAGCGTCAGGTCGGTTTACCAGCTCGTCAGAAAGGAGTTCCCGCAGAAAAGGTTTAGAACAGTTTAATAAAAATCTTTTTATGTCTGCAGAACTATGCAGAACTACCTCACCTGGCAGCTCATCATCGACCGAGTCAACAGCTTGAGCCGCCGCTTTAAAGACGCCAGAGCCCGCTACAGAAAGGTGAGACGAGCACCAGAACAGCACCTGTTAACACGGGCTGGTCCGAAGACGTAATACCTGTGTGTGTGTGTGGTTAGACTCTTTATGGGACCACCGTGGAGGACGCTTGGTGGCGGGAATGCGTCCGTTACGTCCAGAGCAGCATGGAGAACGCAGTCGGAGCTCTGTACGTACGCGAGACGTTTGCAGGAGAAAGCAAACGAATGGTGAGTGTTGTTGGCCCAAAAACGACCATGAACATACCAGGAGCATGTTCTCCTTTGTGCATGGGAATCAGTTACTGCCGCAACAAACACGTATGTCCAACCACGAGCCGTAACACACACGCTGCGTTGTTGTTGGAAGCTTGTAGCGTGAGACATGCATTATGTAAAAAATAAAGAGACCCTGACAATGTTCAAGCTCCAAAATGCATCATGTGGCCCCAAATGAAGAAAATATCTCCAGAGTGGTTTTTATTAAAGTCTACTTCTGTTACACAAGTTTTATTTTCAGTTTGACCCTTTATGAAAAACACCAACTACACATCACAAAACCATTTAGTGCCACAAGATCCGTTCCAGTGCAGACCGTTACGCATCACAGCGGTAAAGACGTCGCAATCATAATTATTCCACATGCGTTTCAGATTCAAAGTGCATCTTCTGTACATCAGTAATGTGCCATGAAACATGTACCTCGTAGAGTAAATGATATGTTACACAAAGCACCGTGGGGCCACACAGATGGACACATGGAGGTGGTGTGAGATGTGATTGTGCTCTTTGTGTTTGTTTTGTGGCCACAGGTCAGCGACCTCATCAGCAAGATCCAGAAAGCGTACGTAGAAACTCTGGAGGAGCTGAGCTGGATGGACGCTCCCTCGAAGGAGAAGGCGAGAGAAAAGGTAAAGGACAAGCGTGGATGTTCAGTGAGTTCTGAGCTGATGCTGATGGTTGTGCGTCTCTTGTAGGCCATGGCCATCAAGGAGCACATCGGTTATCCAGATCACATCCTGCAACGAAGCAACCAGAAGCTGGACCAGGAGTACGCTCATGTAAGGAAGCACTGGATCTTGTTTCTCAGCCTTGTTTTAAACTCCTGGAAGATGCACTCATCCCCTGTTCATCCCATTTCTCTTTGAAGCTGAATTTCAGTGAAGAACACTACTTTGAGAACATCCTGGAAAACCTGAAGTCTGAAGCCCACAAGAGTCTCAAGAAACTCCGAGAGCCTGTTGATCCTGACCTGTAAGCGGCTGATAGCATCTGACATTACACGCTGTCCTCATTAGTAACAGTCAAGCTGGCGGTCGGCGTCGTGTTTTAGCGCTCTGAGCTAAAGTCAGCGACCAAAGACGTCATCCAGCAACACAAGCCGTTGTGTTAAACGAGGCTGAGCAGCCGTGCATGTTTGCTGTTTCAGAGATAGGAAGTAAAAAAGATTATTTTCTAAAACGGTGCACTGAATGTGCCGCTGCTGCTCGAGAGACGTTCTGGTCCTCAGAACAAACACCCGAACAACATCGGAAGTGATGGTTTAAATGCATTTTGTCAGAGTGCAGAACGAAGCGTAAGCACGGATTGCACGGCTGCTGCATTTAACTTTTATCTCGTATGAATCCTGTCCTCGTCACCCCTCAGGTGGATCATCGGTGCTGCTGTGGTGAATGCATTCTACTCGCCCAACAGGAACCAGATAGGTACGAGGTTTACAGCCGCCTCTGTGACAAACTGAGGATGTTTTGTGTGGTAACAGTCACTCCTCGTTGCATTCCTGCTCAGCGCTGTGTTCTCACTCCCTGCTTGTTTTTGTTCGTCCAGTGTTTCCTGCAGGAATCCTGCAGCCGCCGTTCTTCAGCAAACATCAGCACCAAGCCCTCAACTTTGGTGGAATAGGAATGGTGATCGGACATGAGATCACACACGGGTTTGATGACAACGGTGAGACGCTGCTGCTGATGTTTTTGGAAACTGATGAACACAATTCATGCTTTAATGTCATTTTACAGTCACATTAGTCACCACAGCAGACACACATGCAGCATGTTTGGCAAGCGGTGCTTAACTTGGTTGTGTTTCCTCGCAGGGCGTAACTTTGACAAGGATGGTAACATGCTGAACTGGTGGAGTAATTACTCTGCGGAGCACTTCAAAGAGCAGTCCCAGTGCATGGTGCAACAATACGGCAACTTCAACTGGAAGCTAGCAGGTGGACAAAACGTAAGCGCCCAGCGGGACGTATGAAATGCGACGGTTTTGTTTTGGCGTGTGTTTGGCGTGCGTTGAGTAAACAGCAGAATGAGAGCTTTCATGCCGCCTGTGCTTATGGTTTTTGTCGACATGATTGCAGGTTAGTGGAATCAGCACTTTGGGGGAGAACATTGCAGACAATGGAGGTGTTCGTCAGGCGTATAAGGTCGGACGCACAAAACAACATGCTGCTGTTTCACCAGCAATGACCGCCTCCAGCACGCTCAGAATAATCTGTTGTTAAGTGAGCGTGTGTGTGTTTACAGGCTTATCTGAAGTGGGTGGCGATGGAGGGTGAAGAGCCTCGTCTACCAGGTCTAGACATGGATCACAAGCAACTCTTCTTCCTGAACTTTGCCCAAGTGAGTAACGTGTTATTGCTGAATTCATTATTCCAGTAGATAGAGGGCAGACAAAATCCACCATCTGGAGTTAATAGGCGGCCGCCGCTCGGTGCTGAGAAGTAAACAGTTGGACAAAGGGAGCGGGTCGGGGGTGAGGCGCTGAAGCAACCCCAGAACAAATCAACTCTGAGCGACGCATGCAGGGGACGGGAAGAGCTGCCAAAGCAAAGAGCATCGTGGTGCCAGAGAACACAAATTAAAAGCAGAAAACTGTCGCTGACAATAAAACAGGTCAAACAACCGTTTCCAATCTGTGTGCGAGCCGCAACCGCTCCCCGCCGAGAGGATGACAGTAAAACAATCTGAAACCAAATTCTACAAATAAAGGCTGAGAAATTATTTATTAGACGGAAATGACTGCAAGCACATATCAATTATTAAAAAAAATAAAATTAAAATATGCAGTTTGAAATGTTAGCAGTCTGCAGTTTGAAAATGGGCTTTTTTCCAGGTGTGGTGTGGTGCTTATCGGCCCGAGTACGCCAGCCAGTCCATCAAGACCGACTCTCACAGTCCTCTAGAATACAGGTAAGGTCACGTTTTACCACCACAGGCTCACCGGCTACAGACTGAAGATGTTCATTATTAAAGTCTCCTGACGCTCAAACCTCAGATGTGTGTGAACTGACAGTGATCACTTCTGCACAATGAGAACCATATACGAACAGCTGTACGACAGATATTTAACTAGAAAAATGAACTTTTATGTAAAAAACAACAATAATAATAATAAAAATGTATGGTACACAGATTATTATTTACAGTTGAGATGTTTTAATCTCCTAAAACATGTCTGGTGAATATCTTTAGGCTTTTTATTTGATATACCTGCTAATTAAAATAACATTATGTTATTGCCAATACTGAGTTATAAAAGAATTTCTGCAGCATTTTTAATGTAAATATTTGACATAAAGGCTGCAGGTGGATCAGTGGTTAGCACCGTGGCCTCATAGCTAGAAGGTCACCGGTTAGCGTCCCGGTGAGGACACCCGTGATCTTCCTGCGTGGAGTCTCCATGTTCTCCCCGTGCAGCGTGGGTTCTCTCCGGGTTCTCCGGCTTCCTCCCACAGTCCACAAACATGCTGAGGTTAATTGGTGATTGTAAATTGTCCGTAGGTGTGAATGTGAGTGTGCTTGGTTGTCTGTCTCTAAGTGTAGCCCTGTGATAGACTGGTTACCTGTCCAGGTGAACCTGCCTTCACCCTGAGTCAGCTGGGATAGGCTCCGCCCCCCATGACCCTGGTGAGGAGGAAGGTGTAGAGATGATGGATGGATATTTGACATAACAATGTGTAAATGCAGAGAACAAATAAGAACACTGTTTTTTATGAATATTAAAACCCTACAACAACTTTTAATGTGTTTTTAGGTTCAGGTTGATCCGTTCGGACCATCTTGATGGACATGGTGGAGTTTGTTTTTCTGATCACTGAATACAGAAAGTAGATAAATGTGTATTTAACAACATATGTGACATTCAAAGAGTTAATAATCCAAATGTTGGTGTTAGCAGTGGGTCACATGACGGACAGTCATATGATGGGACTCGCTCTGACTGATAATCACGATTATTTGCGTTTCAGTTCAACTCCATGCAGCTTTAAACACTCGTTTAGCTTTGGTGTCCCGACATTTACTGTTTAGTTTTCCTCTCACTGCTCTGATCGCTGTCGGACCACCGACTCTACCTGCCAAGCACCAAACCAAGCTGTTGGCTGGCTGGTGGAAAACGTTGAGCTTCTGAGGAGCCAGATGTTCTTGTCGAGTTTTATTAAGATCAAAAACGGCTAAAAGGAGAATGAATGTTGAACTTTGATGATACGTCAGTGCTGTGTCCACAGCTCGGTTCTGCTTCTCCCAAGTGTCCATAAAAGCAGTTATTGCAGATGTAAAGGTCTAAAGTTGTAATTGCAAATTAGCAATTACTGTCTGCCTCATGCCCGTCCATAAGGACCGACGAAGCTGGATCACCTGCAGGCAGTTACCTCATTAAATTTCATGACGCTGAAAATATAAGCCTAATACTCCCACTTGAAAAATATTTAGTTGTGCCGAAGCGTAACTCATTAAAGCGCCGGGATCAGTGCAGCTCGGCTTGTTGATCCGATCGAGGAGTCGGAGGCTGGACTCACCAGCGCTCCTCTAACATTCTTAACATACTTCAGCTTTTATCATCCCTCATGTTTTGTTTTTCTTTTGTCCTCAGGGTGCTTGGATCGCTGCAGAATTTTGAGGCTTTCTCAGAAGCTTTTCAGTGCCAAAAAGGCAGTCCAATGAACCCTGAGCTGAAGTGCCGTGTCTGGTAGAGCTCCTGAGATGTTTGTTTTCTTGACATGGGCAACTCGAATCAAAAGAACAAGCTGTACTCTTTCAGCCCACAGAGACATCCTGCTTATGACTTATTCCAATTTGTTGGGGCCGAGTGATGACACAGACATTTGCATATGAAGTACCGTAGACGTAGATGCATTTGACACGGATGGTATCTTGGACCTAGTTTCACAACTTGAAGCACATAAAAAAGAAAATTTCGTTTCAAGTTTGAGCCGTTGTCTGTGGATGAGGAGGTCAGCGAGTGGCTCCATGAAGGAAACAGGCTGGTGAGAAGGTCGAAGCTTCTAAACGCTCTCCAGCCACTGTTGAACTAATTCATTTTAAAGTCTCTTCCACAGATCTTTGTGATTTATCCGCTAACATTCGGCGTCTTTGGTCCGACGTTCTCAACACGTCGCGTCGCTTCAGAGGGAATAATAGTGAACAAGTCTTTGGCTGAAGAGTCTGAAGTAAATGAAAGCTCGGGGCTTTGCTGAAGTAGAGCTACAATAGAATTAGTCACGCTCGGAGGCTTCGGTCATTCACTGTTACGTGAAAACAAATTACTTAAAGACTTTAAGACTGTTAAATCTTTGCAGCTTTAACCTTAAATTAGCATTAGTGGAGAGCTGCTGCTTTCAGCGTTTTTACATGTAGAGAGTGGATAAATATTCAGAATTTACGAAGCTATGTAGTACTTCTGTTTTAAGTTTCTTTGTTCTGCAAACGATTGTTCCTCACTGCAGAAATGTGTCCGTACTTCATCCAGTTTGCTGTCGGAGAAACCTACTCCAGATGTGTTGAGACGTCTTGGTGGTCTGCTGCTTTTAGCTCGTGAACCCAGCAGAGTGATGTGATGTTGGTATTAACTGCATTATTGGTTCTGACTGCTCCTCTCCTCCTCACACACCACCTGACCCTAAACCCTGACACAGTGTTCATACTGGGGCGGCGCTATTAGACCTCCTTACATGTGCCATTTGTCAGATTACACACATTAAAAGAAAACCTGTGTATGATACCTGTAAGTTCACGCTGAAGCCCAACCAGTGCTTGATCTGTACAGCAGCTGTGCTTTTCTTCCCGAGCTCGAACACACAGCGATTACGAGACTTTTAGCCTCCGGGCACAGCCAATTACATGCTAAGGGGACGGCAGAGGAAAAGCCGTCAGATGCACTCGCACATGGACGGGCAGCAGATGAAGTGGTTTGCCTTCTGATCCGGCATTGATCAGCGTCATGTAAGATGAAAGGAGGGCGCGCTGTGTGCCGAGGCGTGGTGACCGAGCGTGGCCGATCCCCAAAGCCGCAGGCACACAATGAAGAATGGGGCTTGTCATTAGCGAGACGGCCGGGGCCAGGACTGTTATTTTCTACCTTTATTAACCAGTAATGACGGAGAATCAAAGAGCAGACCTCGTAAAGCGAGGACGGACACACTGGCTGCAGAAAGCCGCCGGTTTTTTTTCGTGCTGGAGAGAAAACCACCAACACACGGCCGGTTGTGAATGTTTGGTCACATTTAGGATGCCTTGGTTACCTGAACACGACTGTTAGGTCTCAACAGAGGCTGCTTGAATTGAATGTGCATACTGAAGCTTTATACTCAGTCTGTCTCTCAGTCTTCGCATCTTGGCAAATACTGTTGTGTTGAGCGGGGGGAGGACATGTTGGGAGACTGTTTTGCTCAGAATGTAAATGCTGATATTGTGCTGCCACCTCAAAGCAGACGTTTGGGAAACTCACTGGCTTTCTGGCAGAGAAACATAAATCATTAGAGGAAGTTCTCATGTCTGTCTTTTACATAACAAAGCGTAAACCCTGGATCCGACCGTCGGTTATAAAATCCCTGAAGTCCACTACATTTCCTGTAAAGTACATTTATTAAACTGTTTTCCGAGACACGTTGTGGAGACGAGCGTCATCGCTGTCCGGATTATGTGCAGAAGCAGTTATTTAGTGGGATGAAGGTTTCTGTGTCGCTGAGAGGACGGACGGCGACGTGAACGAAGTGCAGGACTGAGACGCCAGCGGTTGAGGTTGCACAATGAAAGTCTGTGGTTTTGGTTTATTGGTAGTTAAATGAAAGTGTCTGAAATCACTGTGGGTTGTTCCTGACATGAACCAGACCTCGATTAGCGACAGCAGAGCAACAAACAGGAATCAAAGAGACGCAGATAGATATTTCAGTGACAAGAGGCAAAGTTTAGAGGGAAGGGAATCACAAACAGGAAGAGAAGCAGCATGTAGGACAGCCTGGCTAACGGGGATGGGGATCGGGTGGAAAGGCCGAGGTTAGCGCAAGGCAGGATCTGAATCAGCAGCAGGGTTGGTGATCGAACCAACTCCTAACCGAACAGCGAGGACAGTTGCCCTCCACTCATTCCTCTCCGTTGACTCAGCGTGAGAGATGGATCGTCTCGGGTTCTTCTGGGACGTCTGGTTTGGTGTTTTCGGAGCCAGAGCTGGAGTGAAGTTCAGCCCAAAAAACATCCTGGCTGGTCTTCAGGTTTTGGCAGAGAGGATGTGCTCCAGCTTCCAAAACCAAAAACAGACAATCACTGTCTCCGTTCGCTTCGGGGCGAACTTGAAAAGTTTAGTTTGCTGGCGTCAGAGTTTATTTGTGCAAGCTGGAAAAAGAAGAGCGACCGAATCCATTCCCACATCTGGAGCAGTTCGGGTCAGTCGTGGCGAGGACGGGAGTCGACTTTAGCTCCTCGATCGCCTGAACTTCAACCTCGTACAGATCTAGGTAGCATAGAATCATGATCACGCAGGAGCAGCAGGAGTCTTCATGGTGTTAGAGTCTTTCTGAGCAGTGTTTGGTGTCGTCGTGGGTTGCCTTCGTGTGCTGTTGGGTTCGAGGGCTAGCAGTTCCCCCTGGTGTCTTTGTGCTAAGCTAAGCTAAGCTAATCCTCTTCCCATTCAACAAACAGCTGTAATCAGGGTTCCTTTGACTCCCTGCCAGAAAGCAGAGAATTTCCTCAAATGTCAGACTGTTGCTTTGAACTAAAAGGCCAGTTTATCCCGCCAGGTTCAAAGAGGCGCTGAAGGCTACATCAGAAGCTAAACGTTGGGCCGCCGTTACGAGAGCAACAGTTGAGAAACGTGTATATTCTGTCTGGTTTCCCCTCAAAAAACAAAAAACAAAAAGAGTGCAACAGTCCAGAGTTGTTACCACCGAGGGTACGAACAGTGAAATGTGTTTTTGTAGATACTTGATGTTCTACGCTGCAGAAAATCTGATTAAAAAAAAGACAGAACAGCGTGTGTTTCTTACCTTAGATTTAGCTACAGATTTACTGAAATAGTGAAATCGTGTCGTTTTAAAATTACCAGCCAAGTACAAACACACTTACTTTATTTCCTTTGCTCTATGAACATGTTTGATCTGTAAACCCACCAGAGGAGTTTATTTATCTAAATGAATATTTATGAAATAACGTCGTCGCTTCGCCAGAATTCAGATGTTCAAGATGTTTTATGAATGTTCCTGCTGCTATGTAATTATCTAGACTGCTATTTTTGTGACTCAGATCTGTAATTATTGCCATTAAAGTGACTGTCTCAACCAACGCCAGCCTTCACATGTGGAGTTTTATTTCAGACTTCCTGTAGAATTCACCTGGATTAGAATATATATATATTAGTGCAGGACTGCTTGTTATTGTCTCTGATATTTGGAGCCACTTTCTCAGGTGTAACCAATGCTTTTATCGTTTGTTCATGAAAACCTTGGACGGCTTCGGCTTTTCTTTTCTTTTCTTTTCTTTATGAGGAAACAGAAGCTGTTTTATTAAATGCTTCTACCTGATCTGTCAGCGGCTTGCTGAGCATTCATGGCACCGTGTTAGAACTTGGAGCTGTTCTGTTATACAATACTTCCTGATGTTCATCTGTGTGTCAGAGAACAGTTCAGTTCTGACCCGTATTACATTTAAACCAAGACTTTTATTTTGGTAACTGACCACCACAGCAGCTCTCATTAGTTTTACTGCAGCACACTTTGTTTTTAATGCAACCATCTGTTCTAAGTCCTCGTGTCACGCTGTCAGCTGGGATGCAACATTAATATAACATTAATGCAACGTTCACCTCAGGTAGAACCAGACGGCTTTACAGTTTACAGACTTCAGGATGTCTCAGCGACCTCCTCCTCCTCCTCCTCTCACTACGTCAGCGCTTCACATTTCTTTATTCCTGATTTGACTCGTGTCACAGTCTGGATCAAGTTAAAGAACAACTCGTGACCTTTAACTAGCTGTAGGCAACATGAAGTATGTAAATCTGTGTTGAGGCCATCGGCCAGGAGAACAACACAAACTTCACTGACCAGCAGACGTAACGCTGGTGAACAGATTCATCAGAAGACACCATGAACCACCTGATGGAGGACAGTCGCCTCACTCACCTGAAGACACTTTACTGTTTCACTGCAACACAAGATTCACTGTTTTAAGGTTGGTTTACTGAAATGAAAAACTACTTTATGTCCAGATTTTTGTTCCTGGATCTCCAGATCATGTGTCCAGAAGCTTCTTGACACAGTCGACATACTGTATTCACACATTGGCTCTAAAAGATTGTTTCCAGCAGGTTTTACTCTACGATGCACTGAAGGAAATAGAAATCTCAATCTTTGCCTCTGTTACGGTTTTGGTAAATTGTTCCTGAGATCTGCTGCAGAAAAACACAGT